TTCATTCTTCTCCTCTGTGTGTGGTTGTGTCGTCCATGGAAATTTCAACCGACCTCACTTTGATTCACCATTAATTGAACCTCTATCTACGTCTTCCTCTCTTCATCATCTTCACTTTATTCCCAATTTTCTCGCTCAGTCAAACCATCGAACATTTAACAACCGTACAACCAAGCTCTACAGTTGTGGTGAGACAACCCAGGGATAGGCTAATCCCTCCTGGGGACACGACCGTCCTTCCTACTGCGGCCTCCCGGAATTCCACCTCAACTGCCGAGACGACGACGTTACTACTGTCCACATCATCAACCGTGTTCTTAGTATCAATCCAACCAGTTCCAGGATCACCATTGCTCTTGATGATCTCTGGCAGGAATCAGGTGTTTGTTCTGTCAGACCGCAGGCATCCATATGCGATAACTTATAACTCGTTTGAGCAAACAAAATTTGCTTACATCTCGAATAGATTTATGCTTCTGGGTTTACATATTTCGTGTGTGGAGAATGAGGATAATCCTATCTCGAATAGGAATAGACTTAATTGTTCGTGAGATGAAGGTGGGAAGGTGAGTTTCTTTCAGGATGAATCGATCTATGTACCTTGAGAGTCATGCGTGAGTGATATTATAGTCCTTATGAAGATGGCATAACATGGCATTGATGAGTTTATGCAAAATGAAACGACGCCATGGGCAGAGATGTTAAAGCAGGATTTTCCGATTGAGTATAGGTTGAAGGTGGTGGGATTTGTTCCCGGTGTGAGAGCTCCGGCGGGACTTGTTGGTCCAATTACTCTTCCTCAATTCCTTCTTGCTTTTGCCCCGATGATAATCCTTATCCTTGCTTCGTGGTATATCCGGCTTCTTCAGGTTTGTGGCTCCCTCAATCTTCTTTGATCATTTCCCTACATTATTTACTCTTTTACCTAATATTGATTGCATAAATACTATGCTATTTCTAAAACAAGATTAAAATCTCAAAGCTATACCAACATGGGCTTTAATATAATATCAATGGTTTCAAAAAAGTTTGTTTTAACCGCAAAACTTTAAAACGGTGATGAAAAACATTAACATGAGGTGGAATGGAAATCCAAATGATTTATATTGATTTACGTACAGTGTTATTCCAAATAGTCACTATTGTGACCCCAAATGATATCAATCGATATATTAAAGGTACATGAAAAGATGTCTTTTCTTATTAACCTGGATATCCAACTCGTTATGCGAGTCGACTAATCCCAGGACGAGCATCTGCTTTGCAGATAGCCCGGAGTCACCTCGTTTGAACCTCCGTGGCCATAAGGAGACTTTTATTCTCCTTGGATTTGAACCTGAGACCTCCAGGTATTTTTGATCTTTGGAGCCAAACTCAAACTAATCAGGCACCACCCTTGTGGTTGAAAAGATGCCTTTTACGATGGAACGGATTGACAATGTCATGTAAAAATGATATTGTAAATAATACTAATTGAGGAATAATTGTTGATTGATTTTGTGTCTAGGAATGCTCGAAAAAAAAAAATTTATTTGAATTACTAGTATGTCTTGAATCCAGTGTTATTTTTAATGATAAAAACAAGATTGAATATTCTTTGTATTTATCGAGGACCCTTTTTTTACATCTTCCCCAAGAGCTACAAAATCCTCTTACATCTCCCCCAAGAGCTATAAAATGTGAGGAACAACTCTAAGTAAATGTAACACCCTCAAATCTAGAAAGAACGACTAATTTAAAATTTTCAATAATAAAATCAAATGAAGTATAAATTCATTTTCTGTAAATCGATACTTAAATTACTTGGAATATTGAATATAGATTTAACATAAAATTATTGATAAGGCAAGCGTTACATAAACACTGAGTTAAGGCCGGGTGATACTATAACCAATAACAATCGTTATCTCCAAAAGCTCAAAAACGTCACTGATTAGTTAGATCCTTCTCATGCCTCTAATTAGCCCTCGGTTCAGCACAGTGTCGCTAGTATCATTTCCCAAGAACCTGATGCACCTGTCGACAAATAAAAATGGTTAGACTTAACGTCTAGTGAGTTCAATCAGTTTTCATCATAATTATAAAATAGTTAAAACTGAAAGACTGCTTATTTAAAACATAATTGCTTGAAATGAAATGTCTTTATCATGAAAACATCTTTTCCAAAATCCACCATTTTCATAATGAAAATTCATTTATCAAAGTGTCTCTTTATTCATGAAACCAATGCCCAATATTCACCCAAAAGTGAATGATATTAAATGCCCAAAACATAAACAAAGGTTCAATACTTAAACCATAAATAATGGAAAATACTCCACACCCAACGCCTCACTGAAAAACATGGATCAAACTCAATACCCAAAACAACACCTTATGGGGAAACCCAATTTCCATGGTTACTGGTGGAACACAAAAGTAGGCCATCATTTTATGTTATAAAGTTCACCCTGAGGATCAATGTCCCCAATGGGATTAAATTACCGTGATTTATAGTTCAAAGCCCCCGATGATTCCAGATATACTCATACTCATTAACTAGAAATTATATCAAATGATTAATGACTCGTATCCAACTCCCATAAGATCATACCAAGTTGCCTATTATGACCCAATGCCTATTTCTAGCTACAATATGAGAACAATCGTCTCATTTTAAACCAATAATGACTGACTCCTATGCTTATGAATCAATTACATTGCAGTCTAAATTATATGTCCCCATAAGAATGGCCATGCACTCAAAGCATGTAATCTTTCAATTGAATATGCTAACTGCATATAACTCCAAAAGCTCGATATAGAGCAAATTAACACTACAAATATCCCCAAGACTCACCTGAGTCAAAACCGAACCGAAAGCTCATCAACTCAAATGACTATACAACAAAAGTCATCAAAAGCAATTAAAACGCATTTAACCAATGTTTATGCAAGCACATGCTCTAAGGACATGATTAACTCAGAAACTTATCATTGACGTTTCTAAAGGAAACCATATTTCTATTTCCAAAGCACTTTATAACACAATGATGTGTATTTTACAAATGGTTTATAAACCGAAGGTACCAAGAGTGCACTAATGTCGAATAATCTCTATTTCAAAGTTTATTATTGATGGAATACGATAAAAAATTATTTTTCTTTTTCATGGTAATCATTTTTCAGGAAGTTCTCCAAATTTGGAGGATTTCACGTTCTCTCTTAGAGCCTGTTTGTTTTTTCAAAATCAGCTCTTAATACATCTGATGTCTGATTTGATTTGGTCATATCATTTGGTATTAAGGGCGTTTGTTTTTATTTCAAATAAGAGCTTAAAAGCCCTTACCTACATCTGAAATTTTAAGTGTAGAAAAAACTTCTAATTCCTCTTAATCCTTCTCCCCTCTCTCTCTCTCTCTCTCTCTCTAGCTTCATTCAAAAACCCACAACCGCTTCCATCTCTCTGCTGATTTGATCTTACAACTCTTGATCTCACAGTCTCGATCTCACAACTCTCGATCAAAGTCTTGATCTCACAGTCTTGATCTCTCAAGCTCTCGACCTCTCAAGCTCAAGCTGGTTGTTTCCAGATCTCTAAGGTATCGATCTCTACTGCTCTCGATCTCTGAAGCTGATCCATGTTTGTGTGATGCTTGAAGATATGAGCAGTGATGCTCACAAGTATATCCATTTAGGATTTGTGGTATGATTACAGAACTTGAGATATGCGGTATGCTCATAAATATAGCCATTTTTGAATCTTTTAAAACATGGATGGAGTCTTTTTGGTTTTCTTGTGGGTAATGAAGATAAACCATTTGTGGGTGTCTAATCCTTCTCATGCAATCTGAATCACTGTTTATTTTATATGTTGGTTTGATTGATATTTTTGTTTAGAATGATAGATTGTATGCAATGATTGATTCAATTCATGTCAATTTCCATGGAAGCGTTGTAGGTCTAGCAGTTTTTTGTAGTTTATGATGCTTTATTTTGTTAAATGTTGAGATATGATGAGAAATTGTCTCAATTTAATGCAAGTTCCCAACCTTTCTATAGTTTCTGACTTCACACGTATAAACAAGCAGTCTGACTGATTCAGATTTCAGACTTCAGTACCACCTCTTATAAATCAGAAGTAAAATCAGACTTCAACAACTCTTAAAAAACAAACGCCACCTTACTTTCTCAATTTTGGAGAAATTTTTGGATAATCTTTCGGAGTAAAATTTGTCAAAGATTGTCAAAATATCTATTTTAGAAAAACTGATGAAGATGCTTTTATAGACTCACAATAGGTCAGCATACAGAATATTATTAATTTATATAGGTTATAACAATATCATATCCCATACAACACCCTCGACCAACTCTCCTACAAAATAAGTATGACCCAGAAATTGAAAACTTGGGGGCGTTTACTAAATGCTTACACGGTAAGCGTTTACCAGATAATTTTTCTTATTTGATGAAATAGCAAGTATCATCAGTAAGGTAACCAACTTATTAAACCAAACTCTATATTTTTTTTTTTATCATCTAAGGACATTTCTTTCAAGTAAATATTTCAATATTTTTTCAATATTTTTATTAAAGATATAATGACCAAATACCTTTTTTTTATTAACCTAGATATCCAACCTGCTATACGAGCCGACTAATGACAGGACGACCACTTGCTTTTTATTCTCTTTGTATTTTTTACCTATGGAGCCCAAGCTCAAACCAATCAAACACCACCCTTTGGTCGAACAAATCACTTTATTTAACATCACAATGGGCATGGGAAATAGGGGTTACAAAAGTCCTTTCTTCTGTGATTTATAGTTGTCATCTTTAATTCAATCGTTTTATTGGTATTGCAGGGATTGCGTGGAAAATAAAACTAAGTAAGTTATACTTCATTTAACTTATTTTATTTGGTTTAAATTTGGAAACAGGTATTCTAATTAACTAGTAGTAATATTTTTCCCTTATTGCAGGTTCTGGAGTTGTAGCTGCTCTACTATCAATCGTGTTGACATTCACAGCATTTTGCATAATAAAGCGTTCATCGAGCAACTGCGTAGCAACATTTAAGCGTAAAACCGAGGATGACAAAAGTGTCGAGGCCTTTATCATTCGATATGGATCCTTAGGTATGAAGAGGTACACTTATGTTGATGTCAAGAACATGACAAACTCGTTCCATGTGAAACTAGGACAAGGAGGTTTCGGAACCGTGTTTAAAGGAAAGCTATCAGATGGTCGTCTTGTTGCAGTAAAAGTTTTGAACACATCAAAAGCAAGCGGGCAAGAATTTATAAACGAAGTTGCGAGTATAGGTAGGACTTCTCATGTTAACATCGTTACCCTCTTGGGATTTTGTTTCGACCATAAAAAAAGAGCGCTCATATACGAGTACATGCCAAATGGATCATTAGAAAAGTTCATATATCGCCATGTTCCTCTCGAGACAAGGGTATGCTTGGGAGTCGAGAAGCTGTTTGAGGTAGCACTTGGAATAGCACGAGGTCTTGACTACTTGCATCGTGGGTGCAACACTCGTATTTTGCATCTTGACATAAAGCCACATAACATCCTTCTTGATGAAGACTTCTGCCCCAAGATAGCAGATTTCGGGCTTTCTAAATTGTACTCTAGAAAAGAGAGTGTCGTTTCTATGTTAGAGGCTAGAGGAACCATCGGGTATATTGCCCCAGAAGTTTTTAACAGAAACTTTGGAGGAGTCTCCCATAAATCTGATGTGTATAGTTATGGGATGTTGATACTAGAAATGGTGGGAGGAAGGAGAAACGTTGATGTTGCTGTCGGTTCTGGGCATACGAGTGAGATATATTTTCCTTATTGGGTTTATGACCGTCTCAAGAAGGACGAAATCCTATTAGACGGTGTAACGACTATGGAGGAAAACGAATATGCTAGAAAGATGACGATTGTTGGCTTATGGTGTATACAAGCCAATCCAGTGCAAAGGCCATCCACGAATGAAGTGATCGAAATGTTAGAAGGAAGCATGGAGGAACTGGAAATGCCACCAAAACCGTTCTTTTCTTCTCCTCCGCGATCCCCGATCTCTACGTTTAACACATCACAAGAAGTGAGTCGAGATCATCGTAGTTCAGCAAAGTCATGAGATGTAAATGAGATAAATTATGAAATATGATAATTACGTTACTCTAGAGATAACAAGTTAATCTTTCCCAATTGACAAGAATTTGGCCAATCAAGGTGAAAAATGGGGTGGTAAATATTTCGAATCAAACCATGTTTGAATTGAAATTGAGATAAAAAAAGGATTCTTCAAATATTGTTTTGATTCTTTAATTTAAATATTGTTTTGAACTTGAGAATTTCTCCTTAATTTGCGAAGGATAATGCTTACTATAGATTCGACTGAAATGGCTAGATTCTCTAGAAGAGAGGAGCCATGGTGGTCCCCCTAGACTGTCCAGATCCTACAAGTGAATCGAAAGTTGGATCTACATTGGATCTCACATAAACCTTTCTTCATTTAAATTATTACCTTATCTAATTAGACGTTAAAAAAAGTTAAACTCTGAATACTAGAAATGATCTCAAAATAACAGGGGTCGCAATATTTTATTCTTGAACAAAAATCCATTTTTTGATTTATTTTATCTATTCAAAATATAAAAGCTCACATTGGGTTTAGGGATAATCAGGCTCGAACTGATGAAGCCGGAATTGCTAGTAGTCATCGGTCAGCCATACGGTGGTGAATCTGTTCCTGAGCCTTGTACAGACCGCCCCTGGACCAATCTTACTTGGGATCACAAATCCCAACACAATGGATTTATTATAAGATCGCTTATTTACAATGAGATGATATACTTTCGGTGGTTCCTATACCTGTCATATTCCTTGGAACCTTGTGTTGAAGGGATATCTATATAATCCGATCGATTGCGTAAAGCCCGGTATGCAGTATTTATAGACAAAACTATTCGGTTATTGGGAAAAAAAATCAAGAATTTGGTTCTTTTTATAAACTTGATGTCGATAAATCCGTAAGTCTAGAGGATTAAGAGGATCGGTCATCCGAAAATTAGGAGTCATTTTTTGTTGCAAATATTCATTTGTGGCATACGATATCTCGATTGATAGACGTAATTTTTGAGATCCATTCGAGAAACATGTGGACTGATTAAAGTAATGAGCCTCCCAACAAAACCCTTCCCAAATTGTACCTTGGACTTGTGCTTTGGTTTTTCGAATTATAAAAGATTTCATTCTCTCCTTATTTTTCTGTCAAAAATAAAAATGGCGGACTAGCTTATAGTCGCTCACTTTTTCATTCTTGAATTAAAATTCATTTTTTGATAAATCAATTAGGGGCCGTTTACCAAACACTTACCCAGTAAACGCCTACCAGTAAAATTTAACGCTATCAATTACCTATCGGGTAAGATTTTAGTCCACCAAAACAATATCGTATGCAACAATTTACCCGATAATTGTTTACTGTGGTAAGAGTCGTCTCTCTCATTTACCGGGTAAGACTCTTGGGTCTTGTCTCACTCTTACCGGGTAAGATTCTTGGTCTTTATTATATTTATTCGATAAGGTAATGTGACTTGGTAAGTGCTTACTCGGGTAAGCGTTTGGTAAACGGCTCCTTAATAAAAGTAGATTATCTTTCCAATCCAGGATAAAGTCACAATTGTATAAAAAGAAATTGATTCACCTAGCTAATAGGGCTTACTAAAAAATAGAATTTGCCTCTTCCCTTTCATGCGGGTCAGACGACAAGGAATTTCGCTCCTTAAGACCGTTATAGAGGTCGAAGAAAAAAAAAATATTGTTTGTCCAAAAAAAGAAACTTGCCAGGAAAATGGATATCCCCAAAAAAGATTACCATTTTTTTCTCTACCAATTGGTCGGACAGTAGGTGCAATAGTTTACCTCACAGCCTAGTGGTAAAGGCTTGGGCATGACATAGTCATGAACCCGAGTTCGAGCCCTGGGAGGTGAGTGTTGGCGACATTTAAGTGGGGCCATGTTTAGCCTCCAAATTTGCCGGGGATTAGTCGTGCTTTGGCCCGGACACCCTTACAAAAAAAAAAGATCTCTGGTTCAAGTACAAAATGAGATAATTAAGAAATATGATATCAATATATGAAATAAACGAATAGATCTCGATTTATAAAGTTACTATATTAATTAAAAGATTAACAAAATGATTAATCATATATATATATATATATATATATATAAACATATCTATTAATTTTTTGGTTCTAGTTAGTAAGAGGGATCTCGAACTAAGAAATAGACCCAGCTCAGCCCTTTGTATCTGTGGTTTCACATCGAGAATTGTTTGCAGATGAAGAGACCCATGGATTCCCTGTTTGTTTATTGACTTTATATAATTCAAAGTCCTTTCTTCCGTGATCAAATGTTGGCGCCAGTCTGGAGAGAGATCTTTTATATCTTTCGAGATCCACCCTACAATATAGGGTAAACAAGCCAAAATAAGTGTGTGAATATATATATATATATATATGTGTGTGTGTGTGTGTGTGTGCGAACGAAGGATCGTGTGAGAAGAGTTAAGGTGAGAAGCGTAAGAAGGGATCTGGACCGTTGATTATCTTTAATCTCAAATTCATCTATGAATTGCGATCGATACGGAGATTGAGCTGATGCATCTTCTCTTAGTGCATCTCATCCTATATGCATCAAAGGATGGAGGTCCCTTCTTACGCTTTTCACCTTAATTCACCTTTTCACCGGAACCCAACCCTTTATGTATGAGTTGGTTTTCGGTGAGAAAAAAATATTAAGGTGAAAAGAGTCGTCGCCATATATATAGTCGTAGGTTATTGTAAGAAGTGGCAAATATTTAAGAAATAAAGAAGTGATCTTAGCTCTTCGGACGGTTAAGATTGATTTGACTGGTCAAGAATTGCGGCTTTAGCTGGTCAAAATTTACGGCTAATGCAAAATATAGTGGGGGTAGGTTTGTAACTTTTACAAATAGGCAACAAACAGTTTCATATGTGAACCCGTATGATTCACATATGAACTAATTAACCGATTCACATATGAATCTGTGTGATTCACATATGAACTAATTAACCGAATCACATATGAACTAATTAACTGATTCACATATAAACCTATATGAATCGGTTAAATAATTCACATGTGAACTAATTAACGAGTGTACATATGAACATATAGTTCATATGTGAATCACATGAGTTCATAAATAAACCCATTTGTCCCATATTTGTAAAAGTTACAAAACTATCCTTCTATCCTCCGCATACCCATCCGAGGAATTATGCGGTGCTTCATAGTTAAAGCCGCAAATGTTGACCAGATTAAGGGTTAAGATCACTTCTTTCTTTACTTCTCATACTTACCACTTCTCAAATGAACTTTTCCATATATATATATATATATATATATATATATATATAGACTTGGGATCATGTGAGACCAATGGTTTTTCGTGAGACCCGTAAAACCAATTTTCAACCCTTGGATTAGATCTACAATCGTCAGATCTGAACATTCATAAACGCCACAAGATTTCTCAATAATTACAAAATTGTCACCGTACAACTTTAGACCATTAGATCATTAGCTTATAAAGTTGATCAATGAACATAAATTGGTCTTACGAGTCTCACGAAAAACCCTTGGTCTCATGTGAATCCAACCATATATATATTTAACTTCTTACTATTGTTCTGATAAACAGGTCAATTATTATGCTAGTATAATGAATTAGAATAATAAACATACTCTTTATAATTGTAATACTTAGGGGTCGTTTAATCAAACGCTTACCCAATAAACCCTTATCAGTAAAAGAAATCGCGTTCGTGTATCACATAAACGCTTACCAACAAAAGAAATCACACTCGTTTATATTCTCCTATAATATCTATTTGCACTTTGCACACCTCATTGCATTTTGGCGGCTTTGCATTGATTCTGGTCATATGTTTTGGTGGCAACCGGATGGGGTTTGTAGATATTGGTTTTGATAGTTGTTGCTATTTTGAGTATAAAAAATTTTCGTTATTTTAGCTTCTCTTTGTTGCTCTTCAAGATCTACTTGAATTGCAATCATTCTAAAATGAAAAAAAAGCGCTTCAATACTCTCCGTTCAACCCAACCCATTAACAACCAAATTAAATCAAATCCGTCAAATCATCAACACGCTAAATCACCAACCCACTAAACCACTGATTAGGAGGGTTGAAATTGGGTTATCCTAACTCAACTCAATCCAACCGTCAACCCGCGCTAATGTATGATATTTCAATAAAATTATATATGTGTGTGTGTGTATATATATATATATATATATAATATTTGCTGCCCTAAAAATACATACATATATTAATTCAATTTACAGCCCAAAGCCCAAAACTAATCAACTAGGCCAGTCCAAAGTTAATCCAACAAGGTCGGGCGCTATATGAGCTATCCAGTCGACTCAATTCCATTTTCGGCTTATTCCCTTAACATGAATGCACTTAGCCGACTAGATCGAGCGTTGTTGTATGATGTCAATGATCGATAAGCACTTTAATCTATGAATCTCTCTTTCATATTGGAATCACAAGTTGCTTTCTTTCTTTATATAAATTTATGTTTTCATTGCATAAAAAGAATATATCAAGTATGTTTCAAACTATAAATTTCAAACCAGAAGTATGAACATAAATAAAAATATGAAGTATATTTTAAACTAGAAGTTGGAACGATAAAATTTTTCATTCCGTAGATGCTCTTAGAAATTTGTTGTTTATTGCATAAAGAAAATTCATATGTTTGTTATAGGAAGTAACTTTGTATTTCTTTATCCTATTTTCTATGTACAGGAGCAATAGAAAATACTCGTAAGTCCTCGAAAATCAAAAACAATGATGAACGAAACGCGTCTAAGAAAAGGGAGGTAAAACCTCAAATGTTTGGGATCATTTTTCAAAAAAGGACTCTAGATGTGATTGTAATTATTTTGGAAAAGACTGTGCTTATCCTAATAAGAGAATTGGTAGAAGTTCTTCGTATTCGTATGTTACTAACCCGTCAGTACAACCCGACCCGCCCTAACCTGCAAGGGTTGAGTTGGGTTGGTTTATACTTTTGAATGAGTTGGGTTGGGTTGAGATTTTTCATAACAGCATAATTGGGTGGGTTGTAAAAATGTCAAAAACCACTCAACCCTACCCACGTACACCTCTATTGTTGTTAG